TCCCCAATGGGGTAGAGACCCACAGGTTGAGAGCCACTATTCTAAGCTGTCTTGTTCAAGTAAATAACCGACATCCATGCTCAAGCAAGCAACCCTTGAAATGCAGTGGGCACACTCACGCACACAGGCATGCACACACGCACGCACACACGCACACAAGTGTGTACTTAGCACACCATACACAATACTAGGAATTCGGATACAGGGAAGGGGCTTGCTGTGAGTGGAAAAAGAACGGGATAATGGGAGATGAACATAACCAAATTACTTTATGTGCAAAATGTGAAGCACATTTTAAAAACCCTTTAAAATATAGCCGGCTCAGTCTGTACGTTAAGAGTTTCCAGGGCTGATGGTAATTGGTAACCAACTGGTGTGCTCTTCTCTGGGGCAGACTGTTTCTTCCACTCTCAGTATCCCTTAGTTGCCTGTAATTGTTTAGGGTTGAGGTCCCTTTCGCCTTAGCATGTCTGTTACTGTCGTCCTTGTACAGGTCATATTTAGGCAGCCAAGGATAAATATTTTAAACAGTAAGTTGTTCTCATTGTTATGGACAGAGATGCCTTCCTATTCAAGGATAGCTCTAGTCCCGTGAATGCCATGCAAGCCTCTTGCTTCTTATGTGGGCATTCTCTTTTTCTTCCATTTCCCCACCCTCATGCCATGACTTAACATGGCAGCATGTACACTCTGAACACTCAGCGGGACTGCCCCCACACTCAAGAACCTTTTTATTGTGACTGATGACAAGATCTTCAGGAAAATCTGTTACCTTTTCTAAGAATGGGCAGGTTCTACAGGACTTCGTCTATATGCTGACTTTGAGCTGTGACTTACCTAAAATGAGTTTGTGGGAGCTATGGCAAATGTGGTGTGTGTTTTAATTCAATGATCCCAGCATTTATTGTCATCTGCACATTTGCCTTATACCAGTGTCCAAGACGTGAAACATGCACAGTGCCACCATGCTGTCCTCCCTTTCCGGCCAACCAGTCATTCCACATCAAACCAAGCGTTGCATTAGTTTTTAATGGAGTAATTTCTGGGCTCCAGCCCAAATTCTATTCAGTAGATGAAGGCTGCTCCTTCTCTGCAAAATTCCTACTTATAAAGGAAATGTGGAAGTCATCCATTCTATATCTATTCCATAGCCAATGTCTTCTCACATAAAACTTGGAAGAGAAAAAGAAAGTGCTGGTTTTCCTAGAAATTACTACAAAATCCCTGTCACATTTATTTTTGAAAAATAGCCCACCAACCCAAGCAGAAAGAAAAATATCTCTATTATCCCAGTGGGTAATGAAAACATGCTTAACAAAACCTGTTGCTCTTGCTGAGCCCACAGTGCCTCAGACTGATCCAGTGACAAGATGGTGAGAAAGGAAAGACAAGGAAAATGACTGGGTATTTATTTACATGACATCTATGCTCAAGGCCCTTCAGACTTTTCAGTAGGCTCTAAGTGATGTATATTACAACACTGGACATCTGTCTGTCTGGATGTTTGCTTTATCTGTCAACTGAGGGAAAAAGTGCTCAGGCACCCGTCAACCACAGAACCTTAGGTTAGCAGCCACCTCCTGACACCCTGACTGGAACACAATATCACCTGCATAATTTCCAGCTATCCTCAGTCTAAAGATGAGGAAACCATAAGACAATGTAGATGGACTTTACACAACATGCCTGGCCTGAGCTTTGAAAACCATCTATTTCTCAGGAGCAACAAAAGCCGGCGATGCCGCTGTACAGGCTCAGGGAGGGAGGGACTGGGAGCAAAGACAATCAGCAAAGCCATGTGCCGCGTGACCATGACATGCTCTGTCACTCACACTTCTGGGGTCAACTGGAAAGATGAAGTATGATATGGATGCCGGGGATCTGTTTATTCAAGGGGGAAAATTTTCTGTCTCTAGAGATACATATTTAAATATCTCTGTCAACAATGCAATGACGTCAGCTACTTTTCAAATGGTATAATAGAGATCAAACATAACCAAATGTTAACAATTGGATTTACTGCACATTTCTCTTGTCTTCCAAGATTAGTAAGTCTAAATGTTTTCAAAGCAAAGAGTTGGAGGGGCCCAGTGTGGGGATCAGGCACTGCACAGTGACTCTGCCCTCCAGAGTCACTAACTACTACAGAAGCAAACCACCTGAGCAATCACCTTCTGACAAGCAGTTAAGTCAAATGAAGATTCTGCCTGGAAACAAGAACCACTTGAAGGAAGTGTTGTTAAGATTTGGTTCACTGGACTGACCTATCCTCCGGCCTTTTGGGACAGTAACAATTGAGGCTCAATTACAGAGTGCCGACTACTGATGTTTTCTACTGCAGTCTTTGCCATGTCCTACCCCTATGAGATGTACATCACCAGTTGCCAGAAGGCGGCCATCATAACTGTTCATATAGTACCTAGAGCAGCACCCATCGCTAATGGTAAACCTTTAACATGGTGTTAGATGGTTCTGTTAGACTAGAAAACAAGCCCTTCTCCATCTTCTCTCCCGGCCTTATCCCTCAAGCACTAGCTTACTCACCTCAGGACAAAAAGCAAAAGCTCTGCTTTGCCATGCTCCTGGATGAGGTTAGCTAAAAGATCTGTGCGGTGACTTACCTTGGCTCCAGTTTTAGACATTGTAAGTGCAGAGGTGGATTCCCACACTACTGGGAGAGGTCCAAGGCGGCTCCGGGGCTACAGGCACAGGGACATTTATATGGGGCGGCTTCAAATCAAACATCTGCTTAGTCATGAAAATTGGATCCAAAATTTGAGTCAGTCATTTAGAGTCTATTGATGGTTGCTAGAAAAACAATTGGGATTATGAAATAAAGGAAAGCTCCGTGGCCCCTTTAATGCTCACCCAACCCTACTGTATTGTAGACTTTGCTGAATCAAAGCACCAAAAACCCAGCCAAAAGTTTTAAAAATTCAAAACAAGTTTTTCTCTGTGTAGTTTGTTTTCTCAGCTAATGACCTTTTGGACATTCCTAACATCTTTTTATCCTTCAACAGAGAGCCTGCAGAAGCCAACGGCCACCCTCTACTTCTGGGCAAGCAAATTCACTAAGAACTAAGGGTCATGAATGCTCCTCTTTGGGAGGTTGGGAGTCACTACAAAAAAACACTTCAATGTTTTTAATATAGATTATGTTAGATATATCAATGTTTGGCTTGAATTTGGTTACTGAGATAAAACTAGGTAAGAAAAATGCAAACTAGTATGTTTAGGAGTAAGATAATGTTGGCAACTTACTCTCAAGCTTTAAAGGCAATGACAGAGCAGAAGGCTGAGTATGGCAAATGGTAACATCTGGGCACTCACAGAGCATATAGGGAGGGTTTCAGTGACCTAACCTCTTCCTTTCTCCTTTCCTCTTTCCTCTCCTCTCCTTCCCTTTCCTCCCCTGCCCTGCTCTGCCCTCCCTTCCCCTCTTTTAAGAGTCTTGCTATGCTATGTATCTCTGGCTGGCCTGGAATCCACCATGTAGTGTGAGGCTGACTTCAAGGTCATGGGGATCACCCTGCTTCAGGAATTACAGGCTTGCCTCACCAAGGTCAGCTCACCTGTCCTTGCAAATGTCATTCAATGAGTATGACTCACAAGAGGAGTGTCACATATATATGGACAGAAAGCTGCCTTGAGACTCCAGAACTTTCTGAGCCAGACACACGCTCTCTGCCCATTACACTGGGATCTACTCAAGCAAATGTTTTGTCTCTAACCTTGTGAATGAGATGAAGACTATACAGAAACAGTACGTCAACTCTTGCTCCTTTTAAACTTTCCCAGACAAGCTCAGTCTTCTTTGAAGTCTAACTTCACCTTTCCTCTAATAAATCTCCAAAAGGTATCTTTATAAATGTGGTCCCCACAGGAGTTTTCAGGGCACCTCCATAGGCTGCAGAAGCTCAGCAGTTAGCAGTGCTCCCTGCTTCTGTAGAGGACTGGCCTTCAGTCTACAGCAGCCCTACCGAGCTGCTCACAGCTAGAGCTCTAGGAGACCTGACTCATCTGGTCTCCTCCAGCATCTACTAGTGGACTTGTGTTCGCATGAGCATATGTGTGCGCAGGGGCACACATACACACACACACACACACACACACACACACACACACACACACACACAGAATGCATACCCACAGTCACACATCTGCACATACATATATGCATTTAATAATAATAAAAACAAATCTTTAAAAATGTGCCTTGACATGTAGATTACTGAGAAGCAAATAACAAACCACAGAATGCATTTGCTTCAATTTTATGCACTTTCAAGTATCAGAATCCCTTAATGCCATCCCCCATGGGTCTTCATTTGGTCATGCTTTGCTTATTCCAATTTCATGCTAAAGTAAAAGCTACCAAAGCTTCAAAGGTTTAACAAGCATTAAGAGAGTTAATTTTACTTGAGGACTAAGAGTGGCTGCTCTGTGATGGTAACTACTAGTTAAATAACCCGTGTTAGTGCTGCTCTGTGATAACTAGTAGTTAAATAACTCGTGTTAGTGACTGCTCTGTGATGGTAACTACTAGTTAAATAACCCATGTTAGCGGCTGGACTTTTCTCACTCACCTTCAAGCAGGGCTTCCCAGCCACATAAACCAACTCTGGCACAGTAACAGAATAAAAACAGAAACCTTTTATTAAAATTAAAAGTGAAACATCTTTTTAACAAAGAAAAATTGCTTTTTAGAGTTTATTGAAATTTGACATAGAAAATAAAAAATAAAAAAATTTATACAACTTCATGTGTTTTATACTTTAAGGCCTAAAATTCCATTTTATAAAACTATCTCTGACATATTTATGCACCAACAGACCATTCTGTTACCCTTTTTAAAAAGAGAGTAGCAATCTCCTTTTAAATAGTTACAAAGAACCATACAACTGTTTTTTTCTTTTCCTTCCTTCCTTCCTTCCTTCCTTCCTTCCTTCCTTCCTTCCTTCCTTCCTTCCTTTGTGTGTGTGTGTGTGTGTGTGTGTGTGTGTGTGTGTGTGGTGTGTGTGTGTGTGTGTGTGTGTGACACAGGGTCCTCACCATGTAGACCAGGCTGGCCTGGAACTCGCAGAGATCTACCTGTCTCTGCCCGCTGAGCCCTGGGATTATAGGATTATAGGTGCCACCACACCTGGCTAACTTTTTTTAGCTAGGACAAAACCCTTTCATCATACAAATTAAAATATGAAGTCAGCTTGTAAGAAGCCTGTACTTGGTCACTAAGACACTAACGTATACACAAAGCTGCCTTGCCCGGTGTTCCATTTTGTGTGACCACACGTGTGACCTTCTGACCTTCTACAGTATGAGGCTTTAAAGAAAGTCAGACATTTGGCTGAAATGCAACCTAAGTGAGTACAAAACAGAAACGAGCAAAAGGTCTTGAACAGAGAGAAGCCTTGAGGTCTCGCGGGCAGCGAGGATGCTCTTCCAACAGGCTGCAGTGGGCGCCATCCTTCGCTCCTCACAGTTCCTGAGCCCTGCAGATGAGCAAAGGAAATTTCATGTAGATAAATTAATGTGCATGCTCTATGCAAGTAAGAAAACTACTTTCATTTATAAACTCATGTAAATTATGTAGATGATGAGAACTCAGAGTGCTAAAATAAGCTTTGTGTCCTTTTTGGTGTTAGCTAACAGGGAGAACCTGTAAGAACCCAAAATTGGCAAACTAGAGACTAACAGGAATGTCGATCCCTACCCCTTAGAGTGTCTGTTTCTTTGAACAATCTCTGTATTTCTAATCCTAGCCCCACATTTATTAACTACATATTGTGAAATTATGCTTATTTTTAAGTTTATTTTTGTTTTATGTGCATGGATATTCTACTTGTATGTATGTATGTATGTATGTATGTGTACCACATGCACATAGTACCCCTGGAGGCCAGAAGAGGGTGTCAGATCTTCGGAATTGGAGCTATAGACAGTTGTAGGTTAATAAGTGGGTGCTGGGACTTGAACCTGGGTCCTCTTAAAAAAAAAATCAGCAACTGCTCTAACCAGTGAACCATCTCTCCAGCCCTCAAATTATGTTTTTTAAAAAGAATAGTATAGTTGGGCATGGTGGCACATAACTACAATCCCAGTACGTGGCACTGAGGCAGGAGGACTGCTATAAATTCAAGGCTAGCCTGCACTCCATAGGAAGACCTTGTGTCATGAACAAATGAAAGGAAAGACATATATCCTTTAGAAAGGCAATCGTTCTTGTTGCAGCTTTAGAACCTGCAGTCCCCTGTTAGACATGTCCGTGCAGCTCACTTTGAAGTGTAAGTGTATCTCAGGACGAGAGCACATGTGTTCAGAGCCCTGTCAGGAACACGAGGCAGTGTTATCTGAAGCAGGTGCAAAGTGGCCAGAATCACATCAACAGTGACATGTCCTCACAATGGACTGCTACCCAACCATCTAGGAACAGTCTTGGGCTGGAGAGATGGCTCAGTGGTTAAGAGCACTGACTGCTCTTCCAGAGGTCCTGAGTTCAATTCCCAGCAACCACATGGTGTGGCTCACAATCATCTGTAATGGGATTCTATGCCCTCTTCTGGTGTGTCTGAAGAGAGCAACAGTGTAATATAAAATAAGTAAATCAAAATAAAATAAAATAAAATAAAATAAAATAAAATAAAATAGCCATCTTGATATAGCAGAACAGCCCTAACAAGCTGACTGACTGGTTCATTTCTAAGACTATCCAGAATAAACAAGGTAAATGTTTGTTTGCCAGAAAACTGTAAGGGAAGCTGAGGGGTTAAAGGTTAGGAAAGGTCTACTGATGTGGGGCAGAGGACGCTTTAACTATGTGCTATGATATATTCTGTTTTTAAAAGATGGCAGCTGCATAAATTTGTGAGCATAATAAAATACAATGAGTTCTTCACCTTAGAAAGGTGATGAGCCAGGCTTGATGGTACACGCCCATAATTCCAGCTCCTTGGAAGGGTAAGGTAAAATTATTGCAAACTCAAGGTCTGTTTGGTTATGGGGTAAGTTCAAGACCACCTTAAGAAACTTAGCAGACACAGCCTGCTCAGTGACAGAATGCTCACTGAGCACATGTGAGGCCCTGGGTCACATCCTCAGTACCACTAAAAGAATGAGAAAAAGAAAACGAAGGCCCCAAACAAATAGGCGGATTTCACATTGTATGAACTCTATCTCTAAAAATAAGCTTTTTCCTACCTTGGGTTCCCAGTCTCATCTCTGAAAGACAAATACTGTTTACATTTTTTATACTCTTTCAGAAATTCTTTAAGCATATAACCAGCATAGATATGCAAATCTCACTGTTCTGGTTGGACTTCAAATGGGAATGCTTATCAAAACACCTAACATCCAATTTTACCAGCTTGTTTTCTAGTCACTGCATTCTGCAGGGGAGGCTATTTACTGACACAAAGCTTAGCAATGGCTAGACCACTGAAGAAAAGGCTAGGCCACTGAAGAAAATGACACACTCCCCCAGCACCCATTAGCTTGCCCACAGATCTGTTGAGAGGGAGGGATAGTAAATCTTTATTATTTATTACTATGCATGGGCTCATGATGTGTGTTAGTGTGCATGCCTGTCCATGCAGTGTGCCTGTGGAGGACAGAGGACAGTTTTGTGAAATCACTTCTCTCCTTTCATCTTTATGTGGATCCTAGGGATTCAAATCAGTCACCAGGCTCATGATGTAGCTGGCCCTTCCCTCTGAACCACCTCAGCTACCATGCTCTCTATATTTAAGGGAGCATCTCAGTATGTAAGGGAGCATCTCTGTATGTAAGGGAGCATCTCTGTATGTAAGGGAGCATCTCTGTATGTAAGAGAGCATGTCTGTATGTAAGGGAGCATCTCTGTATGTAAGGGAGCATCTCTGTATGTAAGAGAGCATGTCTGTATGTAAGGGAGCATCTCTGTATGTAAGAGAGCATCTCTGTATGTAAGCGAGCATCTCTGTATGTAAGGGAGCATCTCTGTATGTAAGAGAGCATGTCTGTATGTAAGAGAGCATGTCTGTATGTAAGAGAGCATCTCTGTATGTAAGCGAGCATCTCTGTATGTAAGGGAGCATCTCTGTATGTAAGAGAGCATCTCAGTATGTAAGAGAGCATCTCTGTATGTAAGGGAGCATCTCAGTATGTAAGCGAGCATCTCTGTATGTAAGGGAGCATCTCTGTATGTAAGGGAGCATCTCAGTATGTAAGAGAGCATCTCTGTATGTAAGGGAGCATCTCAGTATGTAAGGGAGCATCTCTGTATGTAAGGGAGCATCTCTGTATGTA